CAGAACGAAACCAAGTAAGTCCAGTTGCATAAGAGTTTTCTCCATGCCATAAAGTGTTGCAAATTCGAACTATAAAAGCTATTTGTGAAATACAAAACCCGTTACAAACTATAAACAATGTCAGTGATTAAAGTTTAAATTGACATTTTTGAACATTCTATAATTTAAGTATTAGTTTAATTTCAAATGTTCGTAGTATAAGTTAATTTGTTTGAAAAACGTTTAAAATAATGATAATTGGTTAACCAAACATTTTCTCAATTATGATAGGTAGAATAAGGCATTTCTCAGACAATTATTCATGTAAAAGTATATAAAGAAAATTTTAGTTTCTGTGTTCATCAAAAGGATTGTTTGAAATTGAAAGAAAAATAAGTAATAAATGTCATCTTGTGTAAATCTTTCAAATTTTGCTTTTATTCAATGCTTCCTACCAAAAATTAAATAGTAAAGGTTAATTAAAAGAGCATAGAACCGCCCCTATGAGGTAAGGACTCATGCTATTGATAAAATAAAGTGTTTTTTCTTGAGGGACAGTGTAGAAAATGAACATTCCTATCTACACTAATAAAATCCTGTCTACACTGTGAACATTATTTATACAAAGTAAAGCTGCCGGAGGCGATGTTAGCAATGATAAGGTAAGAAAGTCTAGTTCGTCTATGTTTGTCATTATTATTATTAAAATTTCTTATCAGAACCTACACTCAATGGAAAATTAGATATAAATACACCCAAATGACATTTTACATAAAAAAGGCGCCCAAACGGATAATTAATTCTTATACACACACAAAATTTACACACCAGAAACAAAATTAATCACCAAATTAAATAATAATTATAATATAATAAAAATAAATAAATAAATATCAAAATAATAAATACACCGCTACCAATCAAAAATTACATAATAATACATATATAATGTAATATCAAGTTTAGTTAAACTATTCAAAATATCTTTTTACTTACACTAATTTGGCTAACCCGGTATGGTTTTCCCCCTACGACCGTTATAGGTAGCGAAGGATTCTCTGGATATTGAGCAGTCGGATCTAAAATAAAATATAATTTATGGTCTTGGTATCATTTCAACATTCAAAACAATGGTAAAAAAAGTGTGCAAGGCGTTGCAATATTCCACCGCTAATATTGTTTTCAGGTGATTCGCTAATGAGGAATTGAGAAAAAAGTTAATATCAATGTAAGTCTCCAAACGCTTTATTTTCGGTATATATAATAGGGCCAAGTTTAATTACTGTCTTTAAGTTACTCTCATTTGTTTTACTGGTAGATGAACTGGACAATTGACACCATGTTCTGAACGTTATATCAACAACCATACAAAAATACTTCACTCCAAAATATTGAATGTGTGGAATTTGAAATGATTATCTTAAGGAAACACGTAAATAAAATAAAAATAATATAAAAAATAATAAAACTACATCTCAAAAACGAAGCATCTAAGAAGTAACGAATCGACACGTTTTTAAAAAGTGGAAGCTTTTTTGAAAAGAAGTTATATTGGATATGACTAAACAAATTGAAAGCATTGTTAGAGACATAAGTAGGTACATAGATCTCGTGTATTTTTTCATGTTGAATTCGAATCCGCAGGCCAAAAATCAAATAACGCATGTTAATGCAAAACAATGTGAAAAACCAAAGATAGAAATGTGGGTTGATAGACAAATATACCAAAGAATATAAAGGGTTGGAAACTATCTACAAATCCAGGGTCCTACTAAGTCACACATTTTCCTATTGAATACTTTTGCCTGAATTTTGTTACCGCGGGTTTTTGGGATCGCGAATCCGAAAATTGCTGAATAAAAGATAGGGGATCCAATATGATGGATGTAAAAATCAATTTAAAATTTGATTATGGCTGAAACTTATTACTTTATGGTTTTCCAAAGTCGTCAGTCATGAATATACGGTTTTAATACGGAAATTTTTAAATCCAAAATAGCAGACCCATAATTGCAGAAAAGAAAACTATAGAAATTGGTATTTACAACAGAAAGAAATGTATCGTGAGTATTTAAAAAATTGAGATCATTTGAGTAATAATAGGCCAAGGTCCAAGAATGAGAAACAAAGAATATAAATTTGGTTTGTGTTGTCTCTTTCAAATAATCATACTAATCCAGGCAGGGAAATATAAGATGAACAAAATGAGTAAGATTTTATAGCTAAAAATATAAATTTGATAATTGAAGTAGCAAACAAATCGAATTTATATTCTTTGATTGTTGCTTTTCATTATAAAGCCATACCTTATCCTTACTGTTTCATCCTATTATAGGGGATATTTTAGCGGTTTACTAAAAAATGGGCATACGAGTGCCTGTAGATCGGTTTTTCGGCTGTGGATTCGGATTCAGTATAAAAAATACACGAGAGCTATGTACTAGTATCTCTGGTACAGAACTTTGTTTTGTGGGACTGTGTTATCAGTTGAAATGCTTTCAAATTCATGAAAAACACTTATAATTTATATATCATTGTAACAACTACACACAATTAACAGTATTCCTTGTTCCTTCTTATAATTTTTTATTAAGTACAAAATAATGCGGAAAAGCATATCTGTGATTATTTTATCGATCCAGTTCAGAAAATTGGGAGACTATTTTTAGTTCATTTAAATCAAGGCATTAAATTTTGGAAATGTCTTTTATTACTAGATAATATGCTGAGTCTTCAACAAGAAATTCATCAACTTACGAACTTCAACGGTAGTTGTATGCGAAGCAACAGGAGCTGTTGGTTGAGTAACTGGTCCAGGTCCTAATGGTGGTAAAAGAGGTATTATGCGATCGTTCCTCTCACAAATAAAGTAAAGTAGATTAGTACAAGTTAAATCGTTCCATAATAATCCCTCCTCTTTCTTTTGCACGAGTTCAAGGCACTGTTCGTTCACGTTATCTGGTTGGCCAGACAGCCAGTGTGTGTATTCTACTTTTATCCCGTATGACAGCCAAACCCAAGTTTTTCCGTCGATGGCTTTGGAACCTGACGACCAAAAGCTGTCTACAACACCTGAAATTCATCATTTTTCTGGTAATATGTAAATCTGATATGCGTTGTCCTTTACTTACCGGTATCTCGAAGATATTTATGTATTCTACTATTTTCTGCGTCTGAGGTAATTGAAACTAGTTTCATGTTAATAATTTCACAGAACTGAAATGCTTGCAGATATGTGGCCTAACAAGAACAAAATAGGGTGTAAGAACTTAAGAGATTATGAACAATATTAAGTTGTATGTTAAAAATTTATCTGAACAAAGAATGCCTTATGAAAATATCTGTTATGTTTATGTAAACCCTTTATTGTTTTACTAAAAATGAAACGTTTTAGTTTTTATCAAAGATAAATTGTATATTCGAAAGTCTTAACCCAAAAAGCATAATATCTACTAGAAACTTTTAACTTGATTAGTGGAGTATGGGCGGGATAAGACAAATACAATGTATACATCTTAAGTTATCATTATTTAGTTATCTGCAGGTGCTATGAAAGAAATACCTATGCTCTACTTAACGACTGTTTAATTAACAATGTTGAGGAAAACAACTACTCTGCTGACTAGTGTTCTAGTGACTACATCAAAATAGCTAGATTATTTTTTTATTATACAGATGAGAACTGAGATCGAAACCGGTATATGTTTGGTCGTGCTACTGACGAATAATAATTTTTTGTGAAACATTACTGGTGCAGTTTAATGCGATCGGGAGATTAATCTGCAGAGTAGTTGTTTTCTAGAATATCATTTATTAAGCTCATTAATATACATGCGGCTAAAGTGTATAGATATAGTACGCAATAATAAGTACTAGCAAAAGTTAACAAAACAATCTTATTCATAAGGAAAGCGGTTCTAGAAAATAATTAACAGTTGTCCGCGGCTAATAGTCTTCAGCGATCGGTAAGTACCAATTTCAAAAGTTTTTAATAGATATTAGTTTTTCTAATTCTAGTAATCGCACTATCTGCGTCATTGTACAGTAATAATATGTACATGTCTGCCTTTGATCTGAGGCTTCGCATCGATCAATTTATTCGATACGTATCCAGCAGCATCCTGGCATATTCCAGGTTTTTTGCTGAAGGACGTTGGCCGTGCATTTCGTTGTCATTTGTGACTGAGTTTGACGCTTTACTTGGTCGAGCATATGGCACGTGTTTTTATGTCAGTCAGTAGCATTTCGTATTGTGAGCATAGAGCGGTATACGGCTTGACCACAGATTTGGCCTATTTAAATACACATTTAAAAATATTTTTTGTTTCTCCCAATTACTATGCAGTTTAGTAGGGTTTTGTTTCTGTGCTGTATTCCACATATTTGTTGTAATACATCTGATACAACTTCTGTTTTAAAACATTGATTTTGTCATTTTCAACAAATGTGTTACTAAATGTTGCATTGAAGTGGAAATAAATGTTTACAGTCAAAAATAGATTTTTTTAAATGTGTTGCGGAGTTTATGCAAAGCATATTAATGATACATGATGAGTCATTAATAATGGTACACAGCTCAATGGCAGATTGTCAAAATATAGTGATTGAGCCAAACATGCCTTAATCAATTGCTGCTTCTTTTCGTTCTACAGGGTGTTAAAGTTGAAAAAATATTTTCGATTCTTTGCTATATTTTAAGTACGTTATGGTTTTAAAAATTTGTAGTTTTACGTTTTTTGAGGTGGCAAACACGAATATACATATAGTGTTGGGGTCACGTCTAGGGGGCGCTAGTTGTACTATCCTGTCAATGTAAAAATATGTCTAACTCACCCTGTATATACCGGAATATAGAACTGGCTTTTAATTATGGAAATATGTCACATTAGGACCGAAACAAATCAAATTCCTATTCATCTGAATATATAGTGATGGATTTTACATATACAGTTTTAATTAATTATGTCCACAAACAGCGATTCTTTATGTGATTTTAAGCCAGAAAGATATACAAATAATTAGTTTTGGAAATACACGGTGTTGAAATAAAAAAGTATCTTTTCCAAATATCTCTGATACAGAATGACAAAACGAAGGCTTATTACCTACCTAATTATTGGTAAAATATCACAGAATTCAGAAATAAATTCGTGTATCAGCGGAGGAGATGTCTCTCTCACTGACAATCAGAAATCTGATTTATTAGGCACTTTTTTAAATTTTCATTAACGTTGCCAAACACTCCACAAACTGTAAAAACTTTAAAATTACTTTTTTCTTTAAAAATATTTAAGGAATATTTTACTAGAAATATAATTTTAAATATATACAAATTAATCACAACAAATTCACAAAAAAATCAGTGTGGAGTGACATTTTGCATTTTCGTTAGAAAATATAAAACATCAGATAAACTTTTTTGCGAAACGGTTGATTTTGGAAAAGGATATTTTTGTTTTAGTTAACTCTGTATCTCAAAACCTACTGATTTGCGGACTAGTGCTTACATAATTTTTTTTTGTATAAAAATCGTACAAAATTTTATAGGTGTGATATAACCTGCAAAGTATGTCATATGCTATTGACACAAAACACTGCTGGCAAAGATCAACTTACTTATCTGTAGATACTACAGAAACATGACATGATCATACAAGGCTCCGGAACCGCTCAAATTGAAGAGAATAAAATTACCAAAAAAAAATTTTTAAGAAATACAAAAATTTACTTTTACTCAAAAACTGTCGCTAAAAGAATAAACGTCAGATCCGAAAACTAGACACTTGAAGTTTCAATTTCCTTTTTTTGATTCCCTCTACGACCATTCCCTCCAATTAACAGCTCTTTGAAAATCACCCAAAATTTTGGGACTTTTTTAATATCTAAATGCCATATGCACGACATTTAGTCTCTAAAAGTGTTAATCTTTGTAGGTTATATACCTCTAGATTTTAATACATTTTAGCGACATTAAAACGGTTAGTTTAAATAAACTTTCCAGGTTTTTGCACCAAAGTTCTTTTAAATTTTCGTTAAAACCGTTATATTTTTATTTGAGAAATCTCCCATTAAGCTTGTCTCTTATGTTTAATCAAGTACATTGTATTACAATAATTGCTAGCCTACCTTAAAGTTCGTTCCAAAGTAGTAACTCTTCCCTTCAAAGTGTAGCAGGTTAATATTTGGCGACACACTTGGATTTTGAAAAACTGCTGGCCAGTCTGCAATATTTGCAAGTAATCAATAATAGTGGATTAAGAAAAAAATCACTCCTTACTGGAATTACTTCCATGGGAAGACCCATTTTGCTGATGCTTGTTTTTTTCACAAATAAAAGGAAACTTTACGTTGCAGTCCCTGTCATTAAAATACAACCCTTTGCCTTTAAACAGCCATAGTTCAAGGCACAATTCAGTATTTGGGTTATCTGGTTGTCCACTACCCCAATTGGTGTAGTCTATTATCTCTCCAGTGGTCATCCAAATCCAGTTTTTCTTGTCCAATAACTTGGAACCAGCAGTCCAGAAGTGATCTTGCTTAGCTGAAAAATTGAAAAAGTTGCTGTAACCATTGCCAAAAGAGATAGTTGCTACGATGTCGATAACTTCCTTATTAATATTTCTTGTATATGGAATTGCCATGAATATTTGGCCGACTAATATTGGAAAAAGGTCTTCATAAAAAAAAGAATAAGGTTTAAAGATCACCGCTAAAACGATATAAGCGTACTATCTTATGGTACGAATATAAATGCAGTTATTTCGGTTACAATGTCACCACTACACCAACACTAGCGTACCAAGTTTCATGTAATTCAAAAATAGAGATATAGCACCACTGCCTCAGTGCTTGAGCTTATTGTAAATGATCCTGGTACTAATACGAGAAGAATTTCTGTACATATTGGACAAAGTAGGTCGGCTGTGCAAGACACTTTGCGTGAAAACGAACTGCATCTCTATCATTACCAACCGGTACAAGAAAGTCTTCTCTCGGATCTTCCCCAAAGAGTTCGTCTGTGTGAATGATGAAGCAGTCATCTGGATACTCTTTCAAGAACGCTTTTCTGTGACGAGGCTACATTGACAAGAGAAGGAATCAACAATTTCCACAACGATCATGTGTGGGCAATAGAAAACCCTCATGCTATTCGAGAAACCCATTTTCTTGGGCTGGAATAATGAAGTTACCGGACCACATTTCTTCGACAGAAATTGAACAGCGACATGTACCGAGTTTTTTTGGAGAACGACACTAACCTATTAAATGGGAGCCTAAATGCAAGGATCAACTCATTGAGAAGATTCATGCAGCGTTTGATGAGGTGAAAAGCAATATAACTAAAAGTGGTAACGAGAGCTTCGACAGAGGAATGAGTTATGCACTGCACAAGGCGGTGGTCACATTGAGCTGCTTTAATAATTAGGTTTTTATTAAAATAAACCTCATTTTTTTCTAAGCCCTCTAGTCGCAACAATGTAATTGACTCTTTAGCAACTACTCATACGACCTAGAAACCTCAAATTCCGATATTTCTAGAATCATTGGGGAAATGTGAATAGACTAATTTTTGCTTAAAATTTGTCATAGAATTTACATATGAAGTACGTGATATTTCGGCGACCTGCATACTGAATGTACTGTTCATATATATTTTTTTATTAAAACAAAGTGTCGTTCTTTATTTAACCCAACCGATGACTACGCACTCTTGAAACAACACGTTTTGAGTTACTCATGGAGCAAGTTTGAAAGTAATTAAAAAAAAAAGATAATATAGAATGATTCGTTTGTGTTGATTCTTCCTACAGCTCAACGAAATATCTTAGATAGGTACAAATGAATGTAAAAACTAATCTTAAACTTCCAATGAATCTGAAAAACTACTATTCGATTATAATATATGAAACCAAATTATTTGTGAAAATCATATGTAATTCTGATGACAGACAATTCCATTATACGAAAATGATATTATATTGTTACTTACTTTGTTCTTGGACATATTTATAAAGTTTGTCATTTTCTTCGGAAGTCTGCACTCTTACCAAGTCCATATTAATGTCTCTACAAAACTGATCTGCTTCCAAATATGTGGCCTAAAAATATGTTGTTATATAAGTCTGATAAAAGCGTACCTATATGTAATTGCGTTTTAACGGTATATTAGGCACTGATATTGAAATCCATAAAAAGTTAAAATTCCAGCAAGTGCTATTTCCTACGATATCGTTAAAATGCAATTTTATGTTTGTTGTAAGCATAAAATGTTTGCATATTTTATTGATTACCTACTTCTTCAATATTAAAAAGTACATTTTAAAATTAAATATTCTGACAAAAAAACAATGATTTTGGGGATAGTTTAATTAATAGAGACTTTACAACAAGTGAAGAAAATGCCGTTGAGTGAGACAAATTCGAGAACGAAAAGAAATATTTCATCTCGAATACAAAATGCTATTTCCTTTTCTAGTTACACGGTGGTCCCGAGATAATGGGCCAAAATTCATGGGTAGATTCCCCAAGTAAAAATATTGCAATTTAGCCGAACTTAGTCCACAAGTTGATAGTTAAAGAGATACAGGGTGTTAAATGTAAAATATTATTTCTGTTTTTTTTTTAATTTATTCCTTAAAAAATTCAAATATCCTCACAAAATTTTGGGGACTGGAGTTCTTTGAGTAGAGGAATTGAAATCTGTTCACATTTTGGTTAAAGTTCATAGAGGGCGCTAGCTACAGTAGATTGAATGTATTAAAAACGACATAACTTTTTTGTACTTTAAGGTATCTCATCTTTGGTAGCAAATTCTTATTTTTCAACTTTTTTTACACAAAAAAGGTATACTTTATTAAATTATCTATCTCGCACCGTTTTCGAGATATTTGGCTTTGAAACTTCCAATGCTGTTGCATTAAATTATAATTAAGTACCTACAGGTATTATTAATTTAGCGATAAGTTTCTTAAGTAGGATTTGGACGAAAATCAAATAATTAATGTCTTCCACTTGTCTTATTGCTGTCATTTGTATGCTAATTTCTATTAAGTATTATTCGTATCTACTTAAAATTACATCTTAGCTTACAAATTAAATTGTATACTCGTATACATAAATGTGAGATAGAATGCCGAGGTTATCGTTTTTGGAGTTACATGAAATCAGTTGTTTATGGAGAAACTATAAACACTTGAAAATAACTTTAGTAGCAGGTTCTAAATGCTGCAGTCATTTCGCATTAAGGATTTATACTTTAAAATAAGACAATCTTTTAATAAACGTGTTGATAAATATATTGAAATTAGAGGTGGACATTTTGAGCAATTATTGTCAAAAAGGCATATTTTTTTACTAATGTTTACTATTTTACTGTGCATTACAATTTTTAATTCTAAATAAACCGTTGTTTTTTACATTTGTAAATTATTTTAATTATTTCAACTATTAGCATTGGAAGTTTCAAAGCCAAATATCTCGGAAACGGTGCGAGATAGCTACTTTTATAAAGTCTACCTGTTTTGTGTAAAAAAAGTTGAAAAATAAGAATTTGATACCAAAGATGAGATACCTTTAAGTATAAAAAAGTTATGTCGTTTCCAACATCTTCAATCTATGGCAGCTGGCGCCCTCTATGAACTATAACTAAAATGTGAACAAATTTCAATTCCTTTATCCAAAGAACCCCAAACCTCAAAATTTTGTGTAGATATTTTCATTTACTAAGAAATAAATGGAAATAAACTAAAATAATATTTTACATTTAACACCCTGTATCTCTTTAACTATCAACTTTTGGACTAAGGTAAGTTCGGCTAAATCGCAAGATTTTTGCTTCGGGAATCTACCCATGAATTTTGGCCCATTACATCGGGACCACCCTGTATAAGTTTGTATTCAGTTTACTTCTAAATGAACACAACAAACTATTAATTTTATTATTAATTATACACACAAAAAAGTGCATTTTCACTTCAAAAAACCGAATCTGCTATTGGAAATGTTTTTAGTTGTTGGAAGAACCCCTAAAATCTAAAACTTTGCCAAAACTCTGTATTCTTTAAGTTTTTCTTTGGATACACTACAGTTTGTGTGTTCAGAGACTCAATTAGCCCTTGCAATTTTTCAGAGAGTTTATTTAAGAGACCATGAGTCTAAATTCCTAACCTACAGAAACTCAAAGCTCCAAATTCTGCTAATGGATGAAAAGCCTAATGAATGCAGAGAGGTTTGGCTGCTTTAAAGATTATTTAAAAGATCAAAAAGTAATGGAACATTTAATCCCAGATCTGTTTTATGGGATTCAAATAGGATGGTATGGGTCTCATCCGTGCAACAGGCCAAATTTTTAAGTATTACAGTGGCAGTTTTTTCTAATCGCTTCCATAGTAAACCATGCCTTCCTTTCAAATATCGCTGTTGCCACATAGAAAACATACACATATATGTTAACTGAAATATTATGATGTTATTTTATTTTTAAATATTTTATTATGTACAAAAAACATAATTAACATTATATAAATTTATTAAAAAATCCTTCCAGATTTAGTTCATAAAGATCATTTGTTTTAAGAGAGAAAAATCAAGATCAATCCATGGTAAAATCCTTAGTTTCACATATACCATTTTGTCGTGGGTAAACAACTTCTCAAGTTCACAAATGAAAAAATTATAATAATGAATTAATGCTATTATTGAATTTGAAAACACAAGTGGACCAAATAATGTCCAGCTGTTTATAGAAACTTTAATGAAATTATTTATATTCTTCTAATCAAAGCCTACTGTGATGAAGTTTCGTTATACATTAAGAATTTATTTTAGGGCAAGGGTACAAATAATTATGAATACAGAAAGAATAGGGTATTTAAAAACTCTTGCCATATTTTACAGAATTACAATTATTTTTATTTCAGTATTCTTTTAAAAAAAACTTAAATTGACTTGGATTGTTCCATTGTGTAAGGTATTAATTCGAAACTCAAAAATACGCGTTTGTGCCTTACGGACGGAAGAGCCTGAAACTATATATTAAGTTTTTGAAAAATAGTCATTTGACAAAAATTGTTTAGAATTGATCGTATCGGATAAACCTTGTAACAAAGTTCCTGCCAACGAAAAATTTTTTTTCGACTTCAACGCCATCTCCAATTTGCTCTGAAAGAAATCAAGTTGCACTCCTTGACGAAACCAAAGGAGCTCTATCATCTGTTTTTGAAAAAATCAACATATCTCTTTCCGCTGCCGAGAAACGTGGCTGAAGACTTTTATGTGGAACGCCCGGCATACTTATATACATAATATATACCATACCGTAAAATATATTCCAAAATAGTAACTCTTTCCTCCAAGATTAACTAGTGGAATCAAAGAAGACTCATTTGAAGAAGCATTTTCCCAACCTTAAAGTAATAATAACATTATATGATTATTATATCCTTCCAATTTCTTTTTTTTTTTAATGTAATTAATTATACCTGCTACATTGTATAAGGAAAGTGTCAGAATGTGGTTTTCTTATCCAAATTTAAGAATAGAGTTCTTGACGGTATGTGGCCTATTAAACGTTTCAGAGGAATCAAAGACAATATTACTCTGAAATTTTGTTTACGGGAGTTACCAGATATGTTCGCTTCAATGAAAATAATGCCATCAAGGTAGCACTTCCGGTTATACCGGAAGTATATATCAACTTCGTTATTTTAAATGGAACACCCTATATGTTATTGCATTATCGATAAGATAAATTAAAAATAAGTCAAAATTGTTAAAGCTTCTCTGTACCCATCATTTTCTAGATAATCAACATTTTATAAAAAAATTGATGATAATAATAATAATAAATGACTATTCACATTATTATTTGTACAAAAGAAAGAAAAAATATTAAATAGTAGCGGCGTTCGATTCCTCGCTCTTCCACGCAACCATATAAAGAAAAGAAAAATAGTTACAAAAATTTACAAAGAATATTAGAAATATAAAAATAATATTTCATCAAATATATAATATAATTTTTTATTGACTCTGTGTGCCTATAGATTATAATAAGATGATAAGTGCAGACAAAAATAGTATGATAAACCATAACGAGAGAAAATTTAAAAAACTGGACAGAGGGACAGAAGTAATTAACTAAAAGATACAGATTATACTATATATGTGCACGCCTATAAATCTCTTCGTGATACGAGGAGCCTACGGAACGACAAAATACTTGGTGCTCCTTTTATATTGTTAGGGATTTTGTTAAAAATCTTCGCAGCGTTATACGAAAAAGAACCTTGAAATTGAGCAGATTTGTGTTCTGGAACCAAGTGCAGGTGTTGGTATCGGCTGGTACGGTTGTGTACTTCACTGCCTTTTACTAGTTTGTTGCACAGATAAACAGGAGATTTAAATGTTTCAGTTTTATAAACTATGCAAGACAAATGTAGCTCATACATTTGTTTTAAATATAACCATCTGGATTCCAGAAACTTTTGAGTTATGTGATCAAATTTTCTTAAGTCAAAGCAATATCTGATGCAACTGTTCTGTATTTTCTGCAGGGTATATGTATCTGATTCTAATAGACAAGGCCAAAAAACACTATCACAGTAATGTAGTAGAGATAAAATTAGCGAATCACATAACTTTAGTTTCACATCAGTACTGAGTGAATCTTTATGAATATTACGCAGTTTTAATTTCCCGTACGATTTTTGTACTAAATAGTTGACATGCTTTTGAAATCTTTAATCTTAAATCTTGATAGATGCAAGCGTTTCGAAAATTCCTTATACCTTTCTTCATTCTGGGAGCTTTCACTTGCTTTTCAGAAGGCACAAAGAACATAAGATGCATTACCTTCCACTATCAAAATTTCCTGAAAAAGATTATATTAAGTGTCTCATTTTTCGCGTTGTTCTTTGTGTATTCAGAAAAGCAAGAAAGATATAACGAATTTTCGAAACGCTTAGTCTGTCAATTTTTTTTTGTAAAATGACGATTATCTCGACAACGGTTAGATTTAGGTACAGGGAAGCTTTGAAAATTTTCTTATTTTTAATTTATCTTGTCGATAATGCAATAATATATAGGATGTTCCATTTAAAATAACGAAGCTACTTCCGGTATAATCCGAAGTACTACGTTGATGGCATTATTTTCATTGAAGAGAACATATCTGATAACCCTAGTAAACAAAATTTCAGAGCCATATTGTCTTTGGTTCCTCTGAAACGTCTAAAAGGCCACTTACCGTGAAGAACCCTGTATAAATATTTGTCTCTGTAGCCCCAATTTTTGAAATGTTCTCAAAAAATGTATCTCAATATCTTCAGAGTAAATGGACTAATTTTTTTAATGCACGATACATTAACAAAGTAGCATTAATGAAAAAATGAAGTTTCAACTGAAACCGGACAGGTATAAAATATTCTCTACTTCTTAAGATGCTCTTATAACCTATTTTTCGGGACCCTTAACACTTTATCAAGGGCTTCAATAATAAAAAATATTTAAGTAATAAAACATTCCTCCATATTTGGTACATTGTAGCATGAACTCCGTATATAGAAATTACAAACAGAAGCTTTTTTGGATTCCAATTTCCTGCTGATATACCTACTAAAACTTGTGATTTTTTAATTGGAGTAAAAAATAATGAAAAACTCCAAACTAGTAAAAATATTGTACAAAAGAATATTTTCCTTTTTCTTGTTTTATAAAATTAAATTGTTGTACCTAGAATTCAATCTAGACAATTTTTTACCGAAGTTGAATCACTGTCTCTCAGTTCAAAGCAATTTTTTAATTATATCTCTTACGTTTTAGAGAAAACAAATAATACTTACCCTCTACTCTGTTCTTTATTTTTTTTCTCGAGGAGGTGGCTGCTTCTAGGTTGCCATACAAATAAGCCGAGAATACTAGTAAGTAATTGAAAAAATGCATCGTTCTTTCAGAACACTACGAAAATATTTATTTGTAGTATAATCTGTTTTTCACTTACCTTTATACTTATTGTAGATATGTGTGAAATTTATTGTAATCAGCATATAAATAGATTTTTATAATTAGTTAGTCGTTAATGCAAATATATACATACTTCAAAAGTACTATGTGCGACATGACAGATTATACTATCACTAAATTCATGGTTATAGAAACCGGAACTATTTTTTGTGCGGTATGTACAAATTGACATTGTTATTTATTGCAGAAAAACTATGCGTCAGAAGTGTATATAAGCATGTGAATTATTTTTACTAATTATAATGAAATTTTAATTTTGATAACATAAACAATGAAAGTAAATTTTGTATTTCCACAGTCGTCCGCAAATTTCTTAGGAAAAAAACTGTAGATAATTATTGAGAACTTGTGATGAGTTTGTGAGGTTGTTGAAGTAAATATAAACTTTATATTAATATATCTGATGGTAACTTACTTTGCAATGTTGATGTTGTTGTAGACATTTAAAGTTACTTTGAGCATCGCATATATTCACCACAATGAACAAGATTTCATATTTTTGCTCAATTAAGAAAAATATACCAATAGCACATTTTCTGAAAAAGACATAATGTTATTCGCATATATTTTCTTCGATTTTTCTGGTAATAAATTACACTCTGTTTGCATTGCTGATTCAATAAGTTATTTTATGGATTTAAATAGGAACAATATGGAGATTACTCTGTACCTAAGTTATATACTTAATAACGCTTGCCTCATAGCAACCACGGAAGACCTGATGGAATTATTACTCGGTGAAAATATTGTATGTTTAACTTGGAAGTAATAGTATATTAAGTATTAAGAACGGTAAGGGTAATTTACCGTTCGAAGATGTTTGGAGGCTGAGCGAAGCGAAGCCTCCAATTTTGTCTGAAAACGGTATAACTCTTAACGTTCGTGATGCTTATACTATTTTTTGCACGATCGCAATAAATGAAAACGAAATTATATATACGTATTTAATTTTTTATGTAACTTCAAAAATGATGTTTCTGAATAAATTTGCGAAGCAGGTTTTTTGTAATCTACTGATGTTTATTGTTGTCACGGCTTTCTTAATTGACGAAATTGACAGTTCTAGAACCGGTAGCTATGGTGTTATTTATTAATAATTGATAGTTCTCAAATGGTAAAATGAGCGATTCGTCTTTAGATGCAAAGTTAGAAGAAGCGTGGAGTGTTGGACGTTCCACATTAATTCCTGAGAAATCAAGGGAGCGCTATGAAAATACATACAAGATTTTCAAGAAATGGTGTGAGACAAAAAACCAACATATTACCGAGAAAGTTATGGTGGCGTACTTTGTCCAAAGGAACGAAAAATTAAAAGCTCCATGAAGCTTATGGGCAGAGTATTCAATGTTAAAAAGGACAATTTTTGTTCATGACTCGCTTGACATTTCCAAATTTTCGACATTAATTGGCTACCTCAAACGGAAAAATGTTGGTTACAGACCAAAAAAAGCCAGTGTGTTTACTAAGAAAGACGTGTCGCAATTCCTAATTGAGGCACCAGATGACAGATATTTAATTCATAAGGTAAATTTGGATGATTTTAGATGAATAGGTGCTAAGTATCGCTTTGCATTTTATGTAGCATTGATATTAGGAATATCGGGAGCATGTAGAAGGGAATAGTTATACAATATGACCATTCAGGATATTGACGACCAAGGAACATATATACTTAGTTGTAAAAATTCAGCAAACAAAAACAAATATTCTACGAATATTTACTGTTACAAACAGACACGATGAAAATATCCATTATTTAGAAATTTACCGCAAGTATATCAACTTGCGGCCAACAAACACAAAATCTTCGCATGCATTTTTGAATTATCGCAATGGAAGGTGCTACAACCAGGTAGTGGGAAAAGGAACAATTGGGCAGTGGTCGTCGAAGATAGCCGAGTATTTAAAATTACAAAATCTTACAAATTATACAGGTCATTCGTTTCGCCGTACTTCAGCCACCCTCCTAGCAAATAGAGGTATGGATGTGCTCGGGTTAAAAAGGCATGGGGGATGGAAATCCCCAACCGTTGCCGAAAGCTACGTCGAAGATTCCCTTCAAAATAAACTACAGTGTGCAGATAAAATTCTTCACGATAATGACAACACATCATCCTGCAATACTTCTGAATCCTGTGCTGAACCATTATCTGCTACTATAGCTTCGACTTCACTGGCCTCGATAGCTAATTTTACTTTAAATAAAAATATAACTGAAACCGAAATTGAAAAAACATGTACTGCTCCAATTTCTGTAAGCAATTGTACAAACTGTACATTTAATTTCAACATTAATAAATATATTTAAAATACATCTTTCTTTTATATCAATTACCCACATTTAAAACTGAATTCTAGAAAACTCATTCCAAATCAATGCGATGTTGAAAATGTCTATTTTGACAGTTATTCACTTACCGTTCTAGACCGGTAAGTGAATTACTTACCGTTTTGTTAGCCTTAGTAACCAATAAGCGCATCGTACTGTCGTAGAAACAAACATGGTAAATGAACTAAAAAAGCTTGATCGTGCAAAAAGTATATTTAATGCCTTGGCTGCTTTAATAGATTCGGTGCGCCTCGTCTATCAAATACCAACCGCGGCATTAAATTTGTACTTTACTGCCTAGTTGAACAAATAACTTAAAATAGAGGTATAACGGTAAACATGCATTAAAGGCAAATAGACTACAGTCAGTTACTTTAATAATTTAATATTTCAACTGTAGCAGATTTTATTTCAGATATGTAAACTGTATTGCCATAGTAGGATATACATTTTTTAATTGTGGTAGTTAGTATTATTAGAAGTATTAAAAAAATTGCCTGTCGGAGTTCAGGTGGACTTAGTCAAACTAAGGAAAAACCCACTATTCAACCCAGTAATGCTGTGGCATGGCAAGTAAGTTATGAAATACGCAGAAATGATTCTATATGTTGAGAGTTTTTTACTGGACACCATGGATGCTCATTGACTACTTACTCTTTGCACAATACATGACCTAAATTCCCACATAAATATAAAAAAAATAGTTCAAGTTCAAGGGATATCAACTTCCAAACCATTTTTTCTAGGGGACTCTGTATATGTCTACAATTTTAACTTTTACATTTACAACCCCATTCTTGCATACTTGAACACCAGTAGAATTTTTGAAATAGAACATTTTCTCATGAAATCTTCAGTGTATTCGTTCCAAAATTATCTAAATTTGAAAATGTGGAAGACTTTAAATTTTTAAATGAAAACTCCCAATTTTTTAACGTATTCACATTCTGTACTAAAATAGAGTGTAACTCTTTTAATATTTCCCTATACGTAAACCCGGTCGTTTTCATTTTATTTACGAATAAACATCCCCTTTTTCTAAAATGGTGTTTCCATTTGTTTCGCACATTAGATTGACCGTGACAGGTAAGTAACAATCAACATGACAACTGTCACGGGTTTTTAATTGTCAAATTTATTTTAATAAGTGTTCAAAATATCTTTCTTCAACTTCTAAACATTTTTCACACCTTCGGATTAGTTCTTTGTGGGTCGCTGCTCTAATAGAATTCGGTGATAGGTATTCAAATGCTTGCCTTACTCTATGCATACCTTTTTCCTTTGTTGTTACTGGAGTAGGTACTATACACACTATTTACTATTTTTTATTGTCCCCCAAATAAAATAATCCAACACAGGTAAGTCTGGTGACCGAGGCGACCATAAAAACGGTCCATTGTTGGCAATCCACTGTTCATCAAATAGTTGTTGCTAAAAATTGCTAACAATGTAACTGTTGTGAGGAGGGACATTGTTATCTTGATAAAATACTATCTAAATAGTTATTTCAAAATTTTGTAAAATATTTAAATACCTACAAAAAGAAAAGTTTGAAATTTAAAAAATACGTTCCTGACAGCACAATAAACGATGAATTGCCAGTTGTCTTGAAAATTTCGTACTTTAAATCTATGTGGGTTCAAGTCACTCCAATAATGAGAATTACGTCTATTGAAAAGTCCATTTCTGGAGAAGTTCATCTCATCGGTCTAAATAATATTATTCAAAAATGATTTATTTTATTAAAACCGTATCAAAATAAATACACAAAAGCAAATTCTTTTTATAAAATCTGTATATTTTAATTACTGAACTACTGAATACAAATAGGGCTTTAATTTGTGCTTTGAAAGTATTTTCTGTATTAAACTCTTATTAATTCTTGACTCCAATTCAGCTTGTCTCAAAGACAATTTGGGATTTTCAGCAAAATAAACCAAAATAGCTATTTCTATGTTTTCATGGTTAACAATTGATTTTTGTGGCAATTTATCTTAACAGACCCGAAATTTTTTAAATTCTCTATTATCTCTTTCACAGTTTTTTTGAGATGGTTTCTCTTTTACTGGATATCGAGTAGCAAACGTGTCACAAGTTTTTGAAATACTAATGAACAAATTTAAATAATCTTCATGAATATAATGTAATCTCTCTGGCATTTTTAAAGGTGAAGGCTATTATTGTCATGTTGTTTGTTACTTACCTGTCACGGCCAAAAAAATGTGCGAAACAAATGGAAACACCATTTAGGAAAAGATATTTATTCGTAAAGAAAATTAAAACGACTGGGTTTCGATATGGGGAAACTTTAACAAAGTTACACTCAATTTTAGTGCAGAATGGGAATACGTTAAAAAAATTATTGGTTTTCATTTAAAAATTTCGAGTTTTCCACATTTTCTGAACTTCATATTCGATCTTTGTTTTTTTGACCACCTTGTATAAAAATTGGAAAATTTTCATGTCAAATCCGATAAATAAGGTCTTAAGCTACAAAATATGTATAAAAAAATTAACCTGTTTCTGGGAAAATTAAATCTGTCAATTTTTGCCTAAAAATCAAATATCTCGGAAACGGTCAATCCTAAGTATGGAGTGTAGGTACTATATGTTTTCAACTTAGAAATAATAAATGCTCTTCCCAAAAATAGGCAATAACATACAGGGGGTTCAATTTAAAATAAGAAAGTTGATATTGACTTCCGGTGTAACCGGGAGTACGATGACCATGAACATATTTTAGCTTGGTAGACCCCACGTCCCGTATCACACCACCACAATTAAAAAAAATCGTTTCCCATATACCCGTCGATGGAGTTCGTGGTGAGACCCTTTATAGTTGTTTCTCATAATATCATTAGTTAAAAACTATAGAATTGTTAAAATCACTTCTGCAATGTTACTGAATAAATACAAGAATGTTATAAATATAAAATATGAGAATTTATTTTAAAATATATACAAAGTATTCAAAACGTATTAAATAACAAAGTTACACTGTAACACCATACATATAACCAAGAATGATTTTTTTAATTTTAGATAAAATTTTACTGCAAATTGTTAATTACATACTGTTTCAATATATCACAATATCCATCTCAAATATCAGTTCAAAACAATATCGTTATAAATGTTTTGTAACAAAAACACGTTTGGTGCCGATTAGCTACTATTGGTCACGTTGATACCTTCACAGATAAAATACTGTTCTGTGTCACATGGTTTAGCACTCCATTCGCCAGAAGGAAGCAACTGTAGACACAATTGACCCTTCTCGGAGTTGCTAGGTTGCCCAATATCCCAATTGAAGTAAGTTACAGGTAATTTGTACCACCATATCCATTTTCCATTGGGTATCTTTCTTCCAGATGTCCAATATCTCTCACCTATATGTAAAAAATTGCTAATAGAACAATGAAAGAGTTCAGTGAAGGATCGTGATCTAGTCACAAATGGAAGCTTTAATACTAGCTGTGTTGATTCTTGCCTGAATCATGAGAACCTGCCTTGACTGAGGACTTGAAATGTGGTTAATTTATTTAAAATTACTTATATTTTTTTCTATGGTAAGTTTATGGAAAGTCCCTTTACCTGAACTAAGAATCAAATTTGTGATGATACCATTCTTGTTTGCATCTGGTATGCTGACAAGTTCCGTTCCAAAAATTTTACATACTGCAGAAGCTTTCTCTTGAGTAGCCTAAAACAAAAATTGTTATATATATTATATGAGTTTAACTTTCGAACAGTGGAATAAGTTCTGATATATTTGTTTTTTATTTAATTTATGACGTATATACCAAACGTAAGGAGTGAACTTAAATTCTTAGATTTTCTTACATATTTCCACAGACAATATAGCTTCGCTCCAGACTGCTACTGGAATAGGACAGAAGTTTTAAATTTCCGAATTGCTGATAGAGTACACGACCAGTAGAATTTTAGAAAGAATCAAATGCAGCGGCCCGCATTTCTACGCGTATCCTAGCAACATATAAACAACAGTTTGGCAATGTTGTCACGCGTACTTACGAATTTATTTTGTACACTTCTTTATCAATGCCTATTTTTTGCCTTGCTGTATTTACTTAAATGTTTGATGTAGGTATTTATAAAAATGTTTTAAAGAGTCAACGAATACCTATGTAGTTTCATATGATATTCTGCAGCGGTGTCATAGTTAGGTTATTTAATCATAATTTCGTTAATTAAAAAAATAAAAAATATAAATATATTTCCAAAGAAACAATATTCGTAATGATATTTTAAACATAATAATTTATAATATAATAATATAATTTTTTTAATATTTGATGATGATAAATTTATTTAATATACAAGGTGGGTTATTAGTACGTCGCGGAATGTAGATATAGGGTTTTTTGTATTTTGTCATCCATTTATAGGTTTAATAATTAAAGATAGAAAAAACTTTAAATACAAATGTACGACTTTTCCTTTATTTCTTTTGACATTATCAAAATGCTGAAATAAAATATATGTTTAAAATAAAAAAATCATTAAAAAATTAAAATAAATCCTTATTGAAATAACAAACAGTGATTTTTATAACTAACATTTACAACAAGATAAGAAGAATACCTAAAAACGAAATAACATTAAAATACCTACCCATTTTGACAAATTTTCAACATGCAAGTAATTGTGATGATACAGTTCAAAATATGCTTTAATTTACTATTTATTGCAAACAAATTCACAATTATCAAACAGTTCGTCCTGTATTTTTTCTTTCAATACTTAAAATTTTGAGGTCTTTAATAATATATTTTGTTGAAGTGTCCCCACAAAAATGGAATGTCTAAAAGACTGAGACCGGGGCTGCTTTCTAGCCATGTAGGGTTTCTAATAATATATTTTTTACAGTGTTCATTGATGGAATTCGTCCTCCAAAATAAATTTGCCGAAATTCCTGAAGAACTTTTGCACATTATTGTTATTTGAATAATACAGTTTAATTGTTTTATTTTTATAAATAAACGGTTTTTGATCGTAACTCGGAAATGGTTGGAAATATAAACAAATCTCCCCTTGGTTCTGAGTAGAGCACTCGGTGGGTGAGGCAGAGCGGGGTGTCACAAAATATGAAAAAAAAAAAAACAGTATTATTTGCTTGTACCTCAGAAATGACTCGAAATATCAAAAAATCTCCCATAGTTCTGATTGGTGATCGAGTGAAAAACGTCCAAAGTCCGCAAGTCTTATTAATATATTTTGTTGCAGCATCACCACAAAAAAATGTCCAAAGGACTAAGATCAGGACTATTTTCTGGAAACCTAAGGTTTCTAATAATATCTTTTACAGTGTTCGTTTACTGAATTCGTTCTCCAAAATAAATTTGCCGATATTCCTTAAGAACTTTTGCACATTATTGTTATTTGAATAATACAGTTTAAAAATCTCCCTTTGGTTCTGAGTAGAACACTCATTGGGCGAAGCAGGGCGGTGCCTCACAATATTTAAAAGAAAAAAAAAGTTTTTGCTTGTACCTCGGAAATGTTTCGAAATATCAAAAAATCTCCCATGATTCTGATTAGTGATCAAGTGAAAACGCCCGAAATCTGCATGTCGAAAAAAACAAAATTCGGGACCAACGGTGTGTGACATCATATAATAGAAAAGTGGTTATAACTCGGAAACGGTGCGTTAAATCGAAAAAATAATTTAAAAAATCTCCCCACACCTCCGGCTCTGATTATCCGTTCTGCGTTGAATGCATATGGTCCGAAGTTCGTATGTCGAAAATAAATTTTGGAAACAAGAGGTGTGTGACGTCATATAGTAAAAAGGCTGTATACCTCGGAAACGGTGCGTTGAATCGAAAAAATAATTTAAAAAGTCTCCCCAACAGTCCTGGTTCAGATTGTCCGTTCTGTGTTAAATGCAAATCGTCCGAAGTCCGAATGTCGAAAATAAATTTTGGAAACAAGAGGTGTGTGACGTCATATAGTAAAACGGTGCGTTGAATCGAAAAAATAAAAAAAATCTCCCCACATCCTTTGTTCTGATTGTCCGTTCTGCGTTGATTGGGATAGATCCATATGACGAAAAACAAAAAAGTTTGTCAAAAATTGGAACAGCAGTAGCGAACGCATTATCTCTGTAAGGGAACATTGATTGATGATTTGTTTTTTTTTTTTAAATAAAATTCGTAATCCACCCCTTGAGGTTCCAACAATTTCATTCATTAAATAAAAAAAGGTACTGTTCTTAGGGAAATTTTACATTTTTTAATTCTTTTGAAATAATATATTAATTAGGTAAATTCATAGTTTTAATTCTAACTTGATTTATTTTATGTAACATTTAACACAAACATTTCCAAGCAAAAGATAAGTTCTATATAACTCTTCAATTGCACAATAACTAAATGCATTAAATTTATTTAGCAGTTATTATTTGGCAGCAAAGCCACCGCTAGAATTGCCTCCTGTTACCGAGTGGAAGAGTTACCACGCTAAATTTTATTGCTGGATGCCGGCTAACAAGACCCTGCATCCTTTTTGCCAATTTCCAGCATTTAACGCGTGGTCTGAAGCGATAAGCTGTATTTTCTGTAATATTTTGCGCCTAAAACCTGTGACAAATATAATTCTACATAAAAAGCTTTTTTGTATAATAACACATAAAGTGTATTTTATTGAATTCTGCAATTTATACATATGTACCTCTGCATTTTTAGTAGGTAATAGTATAATATTGTGAACATATTTACAAAAACATATTTAACACAATTAGTTATGTGTATCCTATAGCAAAATGGAAAATGAATATGCATAGTGTTTCAGAAAGACCTCCCGTAAAAACAGGGAGTGATAGTATATAAATAAGAATATTGTCTTATGAACTATACGCCTACCTCCTCTTGTTTTCGAGATACAGAGTGACAAAATAAAATGTTTAAAATAGAATTTTATGAAAATTTCTAAACGGTGAGAAATATTGTTCTGAAATTTGATATTCGGGGGATTTTAAGGACACCAAATACGCTGGTCTATTATTTTTTGGATATTACATAGAGTGCGCCAGTTATGCTACATTCCTATTACATTATAAGTTCAAATTTTTTTAAGGTTAGGCGTCCTGAAGAACCCCGGAATACTAAATTTTATAAAAATGTTTCTCACCGTTTAGAAATTTTCGTAAAAATTCCATATTAAAAATTTTATTTTGTTACTCTGTATCTCGAAAACAAAAAGAGACAGACATATAGTTTATAAGACAAGAAATTCCTTTTTTTATGTATTATCACCCCCCGTATATCTGTAATACAATGTATTTAACAAAATTCTAGTAAAGTTAAATATGAAATTTTATGTACAATTTGTTAAAAATATGTTACACAAATTTCGCCTTTTCTATATATAAACATAGTCAACAGTACTACTATTATGTACATTTATAATACAATATTTTCCAGTGTATACAGGGTGTCTCACGGCCTATTAGAATTATTTCAGAGACTACTTCGATTTGAATTTTGAAAATTTGGGATATCGGGTTTTCGGGCATGACCTTCTCAACTAAAAGAATGGCATCCACGTACCACTTCTGGTTATACCGAAAGTCGCCATCAACTTGCTTATTTTAAATGTAACACCCTTTATATTATTGCAATTTTGGATTCTACGTGTTATTTTAGGTGCACTTTTATGAAGTTTCCCTATTCCTAAAATTAACCGTTTTCAAGATATTTAATTTTTTAGAAACAGTGACCAGCTTCAAACCATGTATATTTTATAGTAAGAAAGATAAAGCAACAATATTTATAGGGGGCATAGCTAGACCCTGTTGCCTTATGAATGGACAGAAGCAATATTATGTCCCATATATAAGAAAGGAGATAGAAGTTATTGTCACAACTATAGGGGAATATCATTACTTAATGTAGCATACAAGATCCTAGCAATACACATAAAAATTAAGTTAACGGAACAAATGGAGGATATTGTAGGACAATACCAGTGTGGCTTTAGAAGAGGAAGAAGTACGATTGACCAAATATTTACTTTAAGGGAGATACAAGCTGAGAGTTTCGAATGCAAAAAACCAACATTGGCATTATTTGTAGATTTCAAACAGGCGTATGACAGAATAAAAACACTGGATAGATCAGAAAATAGAGTACGAATAAACAATAAATTATCTGGTAAATTTGAAGTTATGGAGGGAGTAAGACAAGGTGGTCCGTTGTCGTCAGTTTTATTTAGTCTATGTCTTGAAAAAATTATAAGGGATGCAAAAATTAATAGGTCGGGTCTGATATATCAGAAAAAACACCAATGCCTGACCTTGGCTGACGATATAGTTATACTGGCAAGAAGTAGGAACGAAATAAAAGAAGTGGCAAAGAGATTGGAAGAGGAAGCTGGAAAAATGGGTTTGGTAATTAACGAGGACAAAACTAAGTTTATGAATTGGATGGATCAGGATTAAACACAAATAGTCATTTAACAGTGATAACAAATAGGAATAAGTTATATAGATTTGAAGAAGTTGAGAAGTACACATACCTTGGCACTGTGTTTACACGAAAATCAGAAGTAGCAGTGGAAATAAAAAATAGATTAATGGCAGGAAACCGATGTACGTGTGCTCTAAATAAATTACTAACAAATAAAATCATATCCAGAAAAGCGAAGGTGAGAATATATAAAACTGTTATTAGGCCGATTGTCATATATGGTAGTGAAGTTTGGACTCTAAGCAAAATGGAGCAAAAAATGATGGAAGTGTGGAAAAGAAAGATATTGCGTAAAATATATGGAGGAGTTAAGGAAGGGGATATATGGAGAAGGCGGACAAATAAAGAATTACAGGAGTGTTACAACGAACCAAATATAGGAGGTATAATTAAAGTACAAATATTACGATGGCTGGGACATGTCCAAAGGATGTCGGAGAATAGAACCCCAAAAATGATATTAACATGGACCTTCTAGGTCTGTAGAGCTACTATATATATTGTATTGTTATTTTTTATTAGTCGTGTTATTTAATTTGTTTATATAATTTATGTTTATGTATCTTTGGATATCTCATCTTCTCAAATGGGAATATCTACTTACCTTCAATTGCTTAAGAAAATAGACACTAGTCTCAGTGAAATTTATATTTCTCTTTATCACAATTATTCTTGAATATAATTTTGGTTAATATGAATATCTAGTTATTTTTGAAAATAAAATTCTTCAAAACAAAATAAATTTTAAAGTAATTTTTTTCTATAGAATGTAAACAAAAATTATTCTATTATCTCTAGGGGTGGTTCTTTAGAAGAAACTATCACTGAATGAAATCCTTCTTTTCAAAAATTTTATATTAATTTTAAACTGATTTTTTTTTATTTGACACAATTTAAATAAAATTATAATTTTCCTACGCCCAATACTATTTACTAATTACCTTATTTCTAATTATAATTATCGATCAAATGTCTTACAATAATTTTCCAATTTTGGACAGTTTCTATCCTTCCGTTCACTTTTTGTGCTCCTGTTTCAATTTTTCTATACCTATTTCTACTTCAATCATTGTACTGACTGCTATGCTCCACACTTGCTACCATCTATCGGCTCCTCTATATTACATTTGGTACTCGGTTTGATCTTGGGTATCTGGTCTTCCACCGAAGACTATCCTCTGGGAAATATTGAAATATTAATGTTTGTCAATGCTTTACCTTTTTCAATTCCTGTTAATGTATCAATTTCTGTCTTCTTTATTTATTTCGGAACCTTTTTATTATTTAAATGCTCCTTTCTTAGTATTTCTCTCAACTTTATGATTCTAATTCTCCTTCCTTCAAATTTTCGAAAATCAACTAACTCCTTTTTTTTTCTTTTTTGGTCTCCTAGAAAACAGAAGTGCGGTACTTCTGTTTTCACATTTTAATTTTTCATTGCTCACTATTTTTTTTACTTAATACTATTTTACAATACTTTCACATTAAAAAAAAATCAATTCAATTTTATCATTACATTTTAATTTTATAACAAGCGACTTCTGTCAGATATTTCCTTCTTTCAATTATACCCCTTTCTCATATGCAATTTTTAATGCAATCATAAGTTGGTTTTTTTAATTGAAACACCCTGTATGTTTTTCTATATTCTGATACACAATTTTATTCTCTTTCGAAAGGTATCAGAGTTCATTAGACCCCTATCTCTTCTAGTTTTTAAGTTATATACTATTTTTTGTGTAATCACCTAAAATCATGTAATTTCTTGCGAGTACAGCTGTGGAATTTTTAGCAAAACTTCAAAACAAACAACTAAACTGTCAATTTGTCTCTTGCAATGTTTAATTTAGTGCTTATAAGAAATGGAAAACAATACATATTCAAATAATGATATTTTAATTTTATTATTCATTCACGGACGTTGCTATGAGATGATAAGCAGAACATGTATAGTTTTTAATGAGACTTATCCAAATTTGCCACCAATGAGCAGAAAAAAGTTAAGAAGAATTTTAGCAAATCAACTTGAGTATGGTCGAATTTGTGCAGAAAGAATGTTACCAAATCCTATAATCTCAAATGAAGAGAATGTAATAAATGTGCTAGCCTATTTTAATGTTCATCCAGAATCCTTAACTCGTGCCACAGAGTATGATTTAGGCATTTCACGAGCGTCCGTTCACAGGATGCTAAGAACTAATGATACGCATCCATACAAATTTAAGCTACTTTCTGCTCTTCATCCGGGTGACGCCGTGCAACGTGTACAATTTTGTGAAACGATGTCCACAATTTTTGCAACACATTATATGGACAGACGAGTCAAAATTTACGAGAGAAGATATTTTTAATAGACATAATACTCATTTGCGGTCATCTGAAAATTCTCATTTTATCCGGGAAAGAAACTTTCAAAATAAATTTAGCGTAAATGTTTTTTGTCTAATTAAAGATAACCAAATTCTTACCATATCTACGAAGAAAACTTAAATGCCGACAGATATCTCAATATTTTGCAAATGGTTGTGGCAGATTTTCTAGATGATATACCTTTAGACCAACTAAGGAAGTGTTGGTATCAATTAGACGGGGCTCTACCTCATTGTCACAATCAAATCGATCAACAGCTGACTGAAATGTTTGAAGATAGATGGATGAGATGCCTAGGACCGTGGAATTGGCCAGTAAGGTATCCCGACCTCACTCCATTAGATTTTTATGTTTGGAGAGTAATAAAGCAAAAAGTTTATTGTACACCCGTTGCTTCAAAAGAGGATTTGTTTCCTCGAATATGAAGAGCGTTCCATGAATTGCCTGCAGCTGAAATAGCAGAAAAGGTGACTGATGGTGTTATATCTAGAATCCACAAGTTCTTAGCTGTTAATGGGGGTCATATTGAACAGTTATGACTTGTTAAGTATTTTTTTATTTTAGTGCATTATTATTATCAACATACATAATTAAAATTGTGTATTACGATGTATTGTTCATTTTTAGAATTCTTCTTAACTTTATTCTGCTCATTGGTGGAAAATTGGAATATGTCTCATCAGAAACTGTAAATGTTCTGCTTAGAATCCCATTGCAACGTCTGTGAATAAATAATAATAAATAACTGGTGACAGTTTAGTTGTTTGTTTTGAAGTTTTGCTAAAAATTCCACAGCTATCCTCGCAAGAAATTAGGTACATGATTTTTGGTGATTACATAAAAATAGTAGATAACTTAAAAACTAGAAGAGATAGGTATAGGGAAACCTAATACCGTTCGAAAGAGAATAAAATTATGTATCAGGATATAGAAAGACATACAGGGTGTTCCATTTAAAAAACCGACTAATGAAGGTTTGAAGTTAACTAAATTTGGCATTAAATTTCTAGCACCCTGTATGCAATTAAGCCACTTTAAAAGTATGGATGGGAATCTTAGCGGTCTAGCTATCCCCCTACTAAATATTGTTGCTTTATCTTTCTTACTATAAAATACACATGGTTTGAAACTAGTCACTGTTTCTCTCCATTTTTTTTTTTTAATTAAATATCTCGAAAACGGTTAGTTTTAGGAATAGGGAAACTTCATAAAAGTCCACCTAAAATAACACGTAGAATCCAAAATTGCAATAATATATGGGTGTTCCAATTAAAATAAGCAAGTTGATGGCGACTTCCGGTATAACCGGAAGTGGTACGTGACGCCATTATTTTAGTTGAGAAGGGCATGCCCGAAAACCCGGTATCCCAAATTTTCAAAATTTAAATCGAAGTAGTCTCTGAAATAATTCTAATTAGCCGCCACCGTGAGACACCCTGTATAAACAAATAAACATAGTCAACTACTATTATGTAAATTTTTAATACAACAATATTTTCCACTGTATATGTCTCCAGTGTAGTATTTTTCATAGATTCATTTACTGTAACATATTGAAGAAAGTTCATACCTATGTATTAAAATTAAAAGCTCTTACTTACCTTTAATTGGACAACATAGTATTTCATTTCTGGTAAAGCAATTGTTAGGTCAGCTACATCTGTGAGTAAAAAGACATATTAATTTAGCATAGCCAAAGACTTTTATTATAGAGGGTGGTTAAATGATAATGTCAATAGTTTTAAGGGAACAAGGGGAAAAATGAGTAGAATACGAATAAGCAATTAAAAAAAATTTTAAATGCATATTTACACTGACAAAAAATATTTTCAAATCATTATTTAAACCCCTTTTTGGACCGCTCTTAACCGCTGGCAGCGTTGATGATGATTCATTTAAAGTAGGTATGGCGGCGGTTTGGATCGATCTGGGGTCGCTGGGCCTTGATCGGCTGGCAAGTACAAAGAAGTCGGAACTTGAGATTGGTGTAAGGTAAATTTATAAACATAAGACAATTAATTCATTTTGCTCGATCATAATTAACATATACCCGGCACATGATTATTTATAATTAATATAAAGACACACAGGTAGTAGAATAATATTTCACGAATTGAAAATAGTTATTTATTCTTAATAATTTCATAGCTACCCACATTACGCCTTAATATATACGGGTATACGTTAACAATTATTTTTACAATGCCCAAGTCAACTTGATGTCGGCCTGATGTGACGTTGCCAAATTTCAACATTTTCCTAGTATCATCACCATAAATAAAGGTTTTATTGACTATTTTAGAAAGTTTTAGGTTTTTTCTTGCTCACTTCAGCCACTAATAATTTAAAATGTTAAAATATGTAATAAATGATATAAATTATTTTTTAAAAGTGTGCAACTAACATATCAAATTGCCATGTTTGCCCAGCAAGGACCTCGAGGAGGTATAAGTATGCCTTGCCAAAAAAAAAAACAGTTTTTGTTAGCATACTAATGTTAATTTTCAGGCAATGGCGGCTGGTGAGATTTCAGGTATGCCATATCTCAATAACCAAACATACGACATAGAGAACTTTTGTAGAAGGAAACAGCAACAACACGAATATGTGATTAAAATTAAAATGACTGAATCACCTTGTATGCACACAATGTATTTCTGAGTCAAACCATTTTCCCATTATATCTAAATTCTGATCTCATTTTTTGCACGCAAAAATATAAGGCAAAAACCAACTTAAATTTACATTTAGGACAATGTCTTCAAGTACCTATACAGGGTATAACTTGAAGTAGAGGTTATATTTACACATAGGCTACGTTTGACCTTTAAAAATATGTATAAATAGTTTATTTTTTCAAATTCCGTTGTGAAAACTTGATTTTTTAACCTTTTTTAAATAATTTTCCTACCCGCCTCTGTATAAACTAGTGTGATTTCAAACAACGGCACGTATTAGTAGCAGCGTATGCCCAATTGACATCTGGGCTATGCATTGTTGTCAAATCTCATAATTTAAAGAAAATATTATTAAAAAGCAAAATTCACGTCACCCGCCGTGAGGTACTGCTTCTTAATGGTTTTTCAAAATATCACTTAATATCACCGTCGCTAAACACTGAAATAAATAACTTTATAAGGTTATACATTTACTCCACACAAAGGTACTATACGAACAGCTTTTCACAAAAAAATATAGTCGAATACTAAATAAGAATGTAAGAGACGATATATTTGGCCAATCCCGTTCCGCCGTGTTAACGTCGCAGTTTGTTTTTAAGGCATTTACTCGTCATATCAGAACACCTACAACATGTAAACAGAACCGCGGAGTTATATTGGTTAGAACGTAATCACGTAAAAATTAAATAAAAGTTTAATACTATTTTTTTGATGATTGGCGCTTCATAATCATTAACATCAAAAAAAAAAAAAATAATTGTGACTAAAATAACACGTCGTTATCAGAGAAAAACAATCTGTTCTCACAAAATTATTTCGCCGTGCCGCAGTTGATTAAAAAAAATTACAAACCAATATTAATATTTAATAAATCACGTAAATCTTTATTTCTTTAGAAATAGATTTTTTCGGCCCTTCTACCACAATGATATCAAAAAATGTGATGACTTTAAAATAACAAGTCCGTAAATTATACAAAAACAATCTGATTTGCTAAATTATTTTTTAATTTCGCACAATGTAGTTGGTATAAGAGCGTTTGACATCGTCGGCAGTGAACAATACAACTGCATACGTAAATTCCGGTTTATTCTGTTCAGTGGCGGCGTACACAATGCAGTTTAAAAAACTAATTATAACTCGAGTATTTATTTGAATAAAAAAAAAGGATTTACTACTATTATGCCCGTAAAAAACTGACCTCCACTTAAAATACACCCTGTATAGAGTAAGTTCAGGACATATTTAGATTTCTTAGGCTAAACTTTTTAAAATCATCACTTTTTTAATTGTTAAAATATTATAATAATCTAAAATATCACAGAAGTGAACGAAGAATAATAAGTGCATTTTTAAATAACTTTTTTTACTGTGTCTTGTTGTTAGATTTTGTTCTAAATAGAGTACCTTCATTGTGCGACAATGGAGGTGCCCTATAAATTATATCTCCTTCTTCACCTTCTATTTTATCACATTTTCTTTTCCTGTTCTTTATTTTTGACAACACAATAAGACGACAAGAGTAGCATTCTTCTGTTGCGTTTTCCTTTTACCATTGTAAACTTTTATTTTTACAAAAATTAATATATACCTTTTAAGAAGAAGTAGGAACTGTTTAGTCGATATCTGGTATTTATAAGTAGTACAAGAATGGTTATCTATCCCCACGGATTTCTTAAGTTAAACTGGATCGCTAATAGTATAGGGTGGGGGAAATAATAACTCCAACTACGTGGTCGCCATACTGTGCTATAGTTTAGGGATTATAATTATGATGATTGGTATACCTGTGAAAATAACTAAATATAAAGCATTCAACACATTCAGCAGAATGTTACCGTTATGAATTTGCTATATCGATTTGATTAAAATCGATGTGCTCTAGTGTGATAGGACATCGTTTTATCAATATTTTATTTGACTGCTAACTGCTTATTCTGATGGCAATTGTAATTCTATTCTGTTTGAAAAATGTTTTTGTAGATCAAAATGTCATATAATAACGTTTTGGTTGTAATTTTGAATCTAATACCAGTGCCAGAAATCCATTAGACCTAGTTTTTATTTGAACGCATCTAAATTCCTACATAACTACATGATATGTGTACAATGTACATGTTATGGGCATTTAAAAATTTGCTATATGATTTCAATAGCTAGTCACAATTATTTTTGTAGAAGAAGTATTCACAGGAAACAGGAAAGTAGGAAAAATATTGCGCAATATGTATTTAACTGTTTACGCCATAAATAATTTCATAATTTCCCGCGGTAATCACACTATTGTTATTGGATAAAAGTCCACCAATTGAGTTTTAGCACAGTATGTCTGCCACCTGGAAAGTGACAGAAATGCTATTAAGAAACGGAGATCCAGTTTACTTTAAGAAATCCGTGTCTATCCCGAACTTTCCCTAATAACAAAAGACTAAACACAACAGAGTACTGTTTCATTTGCAGGGTAGGTACGTACCCATTGTAGTGCCGGGAGTCACAGCTGCTTGCAAATATCCCCATATGCAAGACGAAAGAAATAATAAACTTATAACGAGACACATCGTCACTAATGTAGTACATTAATAATCCTGATATAAAGTCTTAAATATCTTATTGTTATCACTCGATTCTGTGAAGAACTGTTTCATAACAGGGAAATTTTGCTATAAATGTAATGTACTTCATTATTATCCTACAGTTATAATTATTAACAGAGTACAGATAACGATTTCTGACTTTAATGGGGTTAAAGGCTATGTTAAAATAATACGGAAAGTGAATAAATAGTGAATCTTAATTTATTAAGTGCTCAATATAAACATTTTTGATATTTCTTTATATTTTTCTTTATTATATTTTTTAACATTTTTACGTTCTGAATTGGCAAGGAACAAGCACAAGATTAGCTGTGAAAATTCAGAGGGGCAGTGGGTTATTTTGAAACCTGAGATTGTATAGGTAAAGGCGCTAGGCGCCACTATATCTATTAGACGTAGACATAGACATTTGTTCGATAGATATTATTTTGAGTTTTGAGACAAGAGGACAGTTCAATTAAATAGAGCAAATCTATAAAACAATTTAATACAGAATGTTTAAAAGAGTTAACTTTTACAACGCTCAGATAGTCTTTATAATATTTAGGTCAGGAGAATCACATTAACTTTCAACTGAACTGTACAATTTAAAGAGTCTTACCAAGGATAATGATGGTAAACGGGTCTTACGTAACTCAAGCGATGCTGAGGATTCGAAGAGACGCAGAGTTGTCGAATGGAGGTTGCCTTGTTGGCCTTTTTGTCCTGCTGCTGTATGTGACGGTAGGAGATGATCCTCTGTCCGCCAAAACAGTATCGGCTTGGCTGGAAAGTCCAACAAAGACTAGGTTGAGTTGTCCTGAAGGGGTGTCCTGGAGAGTTGCTTGAAAAAATTGTCTTGAAGAGATGCCCTGAAGAGCTGCTGTAAAACATACCTTCGTAGTTTGATTTGATTTTCTATATCTTTGTTACCTTTTAATTTGTGGTGATTTTAAAGTACACCTGACACCAAAATTGTAATGTGTGGTGCAAAACACCTGACACCAAAATATATATGCACAAACCACCTTGTGACCAAATTTCTACATTCCAATCTACAACCGTCGGACAGCTGCTTACCCAAGGACTATTCCCCCTCGGGCACCAATAAGGTCGCGGCTCCCGGTTTTCGACTACTGTGCGTACCTTCGCCCCGGCTTCCTCCTGGTTGGTTGTCGAGCGGCTGACAGACACCCGGATTCGGCTCTGGCTAAAGTCGAAGCAGAAAACTTCTCGCAGAGACTTCTAACTAGCGGGAATGAGTCAGGCGGTTGTGAGAAATCAAACCTCGCATTGAATTAATACTAACTATATATATTGAATAATAATAATCAGACAGACAGTCTACACGCTGCCGCTCTGTCTAGAAAAATGTTACAAGCAAAACAAAGAAAAACCAAAATTTGCTAATTGGTACTTAAATTGAATATTGTTCAGAAAGACAGTCTGATCGCTGCCGTTCCGTCTAGAAAAGTGTTACAGACCAAAACAAAGAACAACAAAAAAAAATACTATTTGGTACACTTACCAAAATTTCCTAAACAGAACTGGTGTTAATCCACTGAGAAAACAGGACACTAAATGGCACCCACCGTGCACTATACGCTCCGTTGCGGTCACCACAATTTTTCTAACATCAAATAGTTCCAAAAAAAAAACAATCCCGGTTGACTTGTAACGACTCTGGAAAAATACCGTTCAAATCAAGACCTAGTGCCCGGCACTAGAAAATAAACTTCCAATTCCGCGAGCCCCCGTACGACTTTAGACTCCCGGAGTCCTGCAACTACTTTTGGATCCCGGATCCTCGCAACACTCTCTCGATTCCCGGAGCCCCGCAACGACTCTGTAGTCCCCGCAACGACTCTGTAGTCCCCGCAACGACTCTGTAGTCCCCGCAACGACTCTGTAGTCCCCGCAACGACTCTGTAGTCCCCGCAACGACTGACTAGTCCTCCTTCAAAGTCTTAAGCTCCCGATTTTTCCGATGCTTTAATCCCGCCCTGTATGCTAAAGCTCTCCTAATTAAAATATGGCCGAATCGATCCCACCAATCAATTGTTTTATTTTTCAATAAATTATTCCCACTTAAGAGTGTTGCCTTTTATCATAAAAAGAGGGTGTAAACTATACCGTCGACCATTACTAAAAAGGCGTAATGGCTCCTTTCTGCAACCGTAGCTTTTTCCCGCGGCACGAAAGTTCCCATGAACAGTTATTTTTCAAAAAAAGTGTTAAATTGACAGTTTTCAAAAGGAGTCATGTTAGAGATAAAATTTATCACCTTCATATCCGGCGAGATCCCGTAACTTTGGAGCTTTGTTTATTTTAAATCACAACGAACTACTTTACAATGCCGCGCCTTTCATCCAAGTCCGTGGGAACGGCTTCTTTCTCAGCGAACTATACCATCGCCTGTTTTCTAATCCTTGGTTTAACTTAACTAGGTACCTACTATACAGTATGTCTATATCTACTAGATTTGCGATTTACTACACTGCCCTTGTGCACTTAGTGATTACAATGGAGAAACAGAGTAAAATCAGTTGACGCCAACTATCTGGTGAGTGATGAGAGTAAAAGCTTAAACTGGATATGTTTTTATATTCAGAAGTTGCAAAATTTAAACTTCTACAAAATTAATAACTAAAAATTGACTTAGTAAGTAAATAACTGAACTGATTAAACAATAATTATAATAATGTACATTATTCACAATGTGCTGAAAATTATGTAAAATGCAAAAGATTTACAATAAACAAAGAAAAAAATTACTAACAAAATAGCATTCCTTATGGAAAATTGCTAATCAATTAGCCAAAAACTCGAAAGAGTGCTGATAGCACTTGGAAATGCAAATTTTTTTATAACCTACTTCCACACGTGGTGTGATTAGGTTTACAGCAAAGAAAACGTCTATTACCGAAACCTAAATAAATTTTAATAAAACTGTTAAATAATCAAAAGTAGAAAAAAATTCAATATAATAAAAATGACGGATATTTACAGTTTAACAATTTTCTATAGAAAAACACATGTAACACTCACGTTCTCGAGTACTACATTTCAAAAATATTTTTTGTGCCCAAACCGCTTATTTAATCAAAATTCTACAAGAGGCCCAAAAACTTCCAAATGGTATCACCTATCAAATAACAAATAGTTGTCATTATTGCCCAAAAGAGGACAAAGTTATGAACGGATATTAACACCATACATCAAATTTGTAGGAGTGCTAAGTTTTCAAAAAACACTCTGTATAACACCTAAATATGTAGATTGAAAGCAAAAGTTCACATACCAAAAATAATCAAAATCGATGAATACATATTCCAGTTATTTACAAAATTCAAAAATTTTTCACTAACTTTGAGGCCATCTAGCGTCCAAACGAAGCGATTTCGCCTAAATCTGCCTATTTTGTCCACAAAGTTGTGGTCTTCCGTTGTACACGTTATTCTGTGACACCCTGTATAGGAATTTAATTAAAATTCAACTCAATTCAGATGGATACTAATTCCATTTTAAAAACGAAAGATCCCTTAGAAAATGCCGAGTCTGCAGACTTCCTCAGAATAAACTTTGAAACCGGGGATTAATTCCTCTGGCCGGTATTTGCATTTGAAGTGTACTGACCTGTGACCTTCCTGACCTTGACTTTTAATATGAGTCCTTTCCAAATTCCGAGTAGCTCCAAACTCTGATCTCGGTTGGCATTATTTAATCCCGATTTATATTGCTTCTGAATGTTGGCCGAATTCTAATATTATTTGCTTTGTGATTGTTTAGATGCATGCTGTATTTTATTTATTTATTTACATAACAACTATAGGAAATAAACAAAAGAATAATATTAATAGAAATCCATCTGAGTATTTCCAATGTCTATTTTTTTACAAATTGACTTTATAATAAGATAGACGAACAAAATGAATGAAACTTATTTTTTATTACATTATTATAACTCTTGTTATACACAATCATACAATATATGTACATTCAATAAACTAGTAAATGTGATGTTAAATCTATGCTTGATATTGAGAATTAAAACATATTATTGCTTATGGTAACATTTGTCAAATCGAAACATCAATTCTGACAGAGCAAGACGCTCAACTAAACTGTTATATAAGTAACTTGTAAAGCATGATTTACGAATGCGTGGTAAATTTATTTAAAATGAAACAGTAAAGGCCCGAGACAGGAACCCTGTGGGGTAGCAACATCGAACTTTGACGAACTGTAAACACTCAGGATTGTAGGATGTTAATAAACAAAACAAGTTATCAAAGACACCAGTCGTATCCAGTTTATTAAGCAGAATACCTACCGTATTGCAGTGTAAAATACTTTACTGAAATCGTTATAGATGACATTGGCTTGATTGCCGAACTCTAAAGCAATACAGAGATGCTGAGTTAGACATAAAACCCTTCATGAAACCATGTTGAATTGGTGTAATTTTTCGATGAATGTTACTATAAATTATTATACAAGGTGTCTGCAAACTTTATCGTCAACGTTTGATTGCATATTCACGATAAATTTGTGTAATATTATCTTGGTTTTATAATTTTTGATATGAACTTGTGGATTTATTTTATGAAAAAACTACAGAAATAAAAAAAATTTTTTGTTAAAAATGTTTTATCCAAATTGGTATTTTTTTTATTAGTCGCTATACAGTTGTGCTAATTACGTTAATGATGTTACGTTTGTAAATTCTTTGAAAGTAGGGATTACATTTAATTAAATTGTATTAATCCGCTATATAAGGAAATAAAATATTTGATTAGGCCTTACAAACAATCGCATCGCCACATAGAAAGCCATAAAATTTGATTAAACTTTATAATCAACCGCACAGCTGGAAAAGGAAATGTAATAAGTCCGTGATAAACTTAACTGGTAATAAAAGGAGAACACACCGGAAAGGCTAGTAATTTTAAGAATATACTTTTTATGAATATATTTATAAATGCATTAAAATAAATCCCAAAATTATGTTAATGCACAGAAACAACAGTGCTTTCATCATTTTAAACAAGCAACACGTATTAATAATAAGAAGA